AAAAAATTAAAAGATTATCTAAACTGTTGAATGACCCAGTTTGTTCCTGATAAACTTCAATCGCATCTTCTTCCTCCATTCCCAGTTCTTTTGGAGTGTGATTATCAGCAATTCTCTGACCTTCAAAAAGAAACCTGAGTGAATTCATTGGAACCCCCTGTCTCCGACAGTATGACTCTTTGAGTTTCTTGAGATGTGTTGTCATTTTCACCTTGAAGTAAATGTCACTGCTATCCTGTCCAATGACTTTGAGTTTGATGCATTCTCCTTCTTTCTTGTCCCCCAAGTCCTCAGCTGAAGGTTTTGCCTCCTGGTCAGACATGGTGACAGTGGCTTTACCCCAGGGTCTCTGCAAAGCAGCAACCTCGGGCAGGCAGGATCTTGCTCCGGGGTTTACAAATCCGTCTATCTTCCTCACACAGTACAACACAGCGGCTGGAGCTCGCCTGTTATTTTTGTCATTGGCCAGCTCTCTGATGCATAGCAAGTAATTGGAAAGACTAGGGCCTGAATGAGGCTCTCCTTAGTCTTTAGACTGACATCATTACTCTTTAGACGTTTGGAGAAGTCCTTGACAGCAGATTTTATCAATGCAATTTGTTGTTTTATTGCTTGATGGCAGGTGGAGTGTTAATTGTAATGCCGAGCAAGCTGAAATTATGAATAACTTCAATCTCTTCTCCATTTATCATGGTGTTGTTAATTGGCCTTAAGCTGGAATCTTCGTCTTTTTGATATTGTGCTTCAATCCATATTGAGGACTATAGTCCTTGACCTTCTACAACAAACACTTCAGGTCCTCCTCAATTTCGGTAAGCAAGGTTGTGTCATCCGCATAACGCAGGTTGTTGATGAGTTTTCCTTCAATCTGGATGCCATATTCCTCCTCATATAGTCCAGCATCCTGAATGGTCTGTTCCTCATATGTAGATTGAAGAGGTACAGAGACAGGAAGCATGCATGACACATTCCTTTCTGAATTTTGAACCATGCAGTGTTTCCTTGCTCTGATCTGAGGATTGCTTCCTGGTATGAGTATAGGGTTCCCATTCAAGTGAATAATCAAGTGTTCTTGATTCCCATTCTCCTCAAGGTTAGCCACCATTTGTTGTGATCTACAGGGTCAAATGCCTTTGCATAGTTATTGAAACATTGATTGACACTCCTCTGTACTCTTCGCTTTCAGCCAAGATCCATCTGACATTGGCAATAATGCCTTTAGTGTCATGGCCTCTTTTAAAACTGGCTGGTATTTTTGGTAGTTCTCTGTCAATGTATTGTTCCAGTCATTTTTTTTATAATCTTCAGCAAGATTTTGTTTGGGTGTGATACTAGTCATATTGTTCAATAATTTCCACACTCTTCAGGTTACCTTTTTTTGGAATGAAAATAAATATACCCAGTCAATTGTCAAGGTAGTTGTCCTCCAGAGTTCTTGGCACAACCTGGTAAGCACAACCAGGGCATCATCTGTTTGTTGAAATATGTCATTTGGAATTCCATTAGTTCCTTTAGCCTTGGGTTTTGGTTTTGTTTTTTTTTTTTGCCAGTTCCTTCAGAGCAGCTTGAACTTCCTCTTTCTTCACTATTGCCTCTTTTTTTATAATTTTTATTTATTTGTTTATTCCTTTTATGTGTGTACCATCAAATTGGATCTGACTGGTACAGGAGGCGATTGTTCCTCCTTCTTCAGCAGAGCATCTGGTGGATTTGAACCGCCCATCTCTGGGATTGCAGTGCAGTTTCCTACCACTAGGCCACCAGAGCTCGCCCACCATTGCCTCTTGAACATAAGTTGTTTCATTAAATTCTTCTGTGTCAGCCAGTTCTTTTTGGTATAGTGACTCTGTACTCCTTCCATCTTCTTTTAATACTTCCTAGATCATTCAATAGGAATCTCTAGTGGCCTAGCTGCAAGGAGCTGTATTGAAATCCCAAAGGCACATGGTTCAAGGCCACTAGTTTCTCTGCAAGAAAAAAATGGGCAATCCCCTCCTGTGCAATTAACTGCCTCTGAAAACCTGCCAGAAGGTCAGCAACGGGTCGGTTCTGACTCTATGGTACACAATATCCTCACAACAGATCATTCAATAATCTACCCGTAAGTATTGCAACTCAGGCTTGAATTATTATTCTGTTCCCTCAGCTTAAGAAATGTCGAACGAGTTCAGCCCTTTTGGTTTTCCAACTCCAGCTCTTTGCAAATTTCATTATAATACTTTGCTTTTTCTTCTCAAGCTACCCTTTGAAATCTTTTGTTCAGCTCCTTAACTTCCTGCTTTCTTCCTTTGGCTTCTCTGTACTCTGGTGAAATATTTAGTCTCTTCTAACATCCATCTTAGTCTTTTCTTCCTTCTCTGTCTTTGTAATGACCTTTTGCATTTTTCCTGGTTGATATTCTTCATATCCTCCCACAGCTCATCTGATTCATTAGTGTTCAAGGCTACAGACCTTTTCCTAGATGGTTTTTAAATTCAGTGGGATAGATTCAAGGTCAAATTTTGGTTCCTGTGCATTTTATTTCATTTCTTTAGCTTTAGTTTGAATTTGCTTATGAGTAGTTGACACTTGCTGCAGGAGGTCAAGGACTGCAGCCTTCAATATGGATTGAGGCTTAATATCAAGAAGACAAAGATTCTCCCCACTGGGCCAACTGGCAGCATCAGGATGGATGGTGAAGAGATTGAGATTGTTAACAGCTTTATTTGCTTGACTTCACAGTCAACACTTTTGGCACCAGCATCCAGGAAATCAAGAGCTGAATTGCATTGGGAAAATCAGCTGTCTGGGACCTCTCCAGAGTATTGAAGAACAACGACGTCAGGCTGGAAACTAAGGTGTGCCTGATCTGGGCTATAGTCTTCGCAACTGTGTGCAATACATTGGAGAGCTGGACAGTGACTAGGGATGATAGAAAGAGAATTGATGCCTTTGAGCTGTGGTGCTGGAGAAGAGTGTTGAATATACCATGGACTTCAAGGAGAACAAACAGGTTTGTCCTGGAGAGGATGAAGCCGGACTGCTCCTTGGAGGCAAGGATTCTGAAGCTTTGTCTGACATACTTTGGACATGTGGTAAGGAGGAACCAGTCCTTGGAGAGGGACATAATGCTTGAGAGGGTGGAGGGTTGAGACTGGGTAATGGGGGGAAGTATGTCAGAGATAGTGAGATTGGCACAGGACAGAGCAGGGTTTAGGGTTGTTGTACATAGGGTCACTATGAGTTGCAGACAACTCAATGGTGCATAACAACAATAACAATAAGTAGTTGATGGTTTGTTCCACACTTAGCACCTAGCCTCATTTTCACAGATGATATTGAACATCTCCAATGATTCTTTACTCCTTAAAATTTTCTGTTAACTAACTCAGTTGCATAAGGACAAATACTGTAAAGACCATTATTGTAAAGTATGTATGAGGACCCAAGAGGAGAGGGTGGAGCCGAAGGGTGAGGATGGACAGTGGGCTTGGGGGTAATCAATCATATGATCACACAAATTGATGGGTGGAAAGAGAGGTCTGTAAAGGAAATAGGAAAGATTTGGTGTGAAAAACAATGTATACGAACTTTGTAAGTAAACCAATATAAAATAAAAATTTTACTTAAAAAAATTTCTGTTAAGCTCTTTTAATAATTTCTTCCTTTGATTTTAGCTTCTCTATGGTCTTGAGTAAGTTTCAGTCTCTTCTAAAATCTCTTTGGTCATTTATTTTATTTTTGTGACCTTTTTCTTTTCTTCATGTATGATGTCCTAGAGTCTATTCCACAATTCATCTGTGGAAAGGGACTATGTGGGAAGCTCAATATCATTAGTCAAAGCAAAGCCAGGATCGAATTGTGGAACAAACCATCAGTTTCTCATATGTTAGTTCTAATAGAAGCTGAAGAAAGTGAAAACAAGTTGATGAAAGCCAAAATATGATCTTGAATCTACTCCATCTTAAATCAAAACATCTATTACTCATAGTGCATTCAAAGACACTATTTTAAAACATCCCAGTTTTATCCTCTCCTTTCTTTGACTATCTTTCTACTCATCATCTGCTTATGGCCGTGGGCTTCTGACTGGGTGGGACCAGAAGACCCAGACACCTTTCAGTCATCTTGTTTAACCTGTTTAGCTGCTGCCTCAGGTTACTCCAGATGTAGGTAGCACCTGGTTTATGGGAAGCTGAGGTTTATAAGGGAGCCCAAGCTCCACTTTTATTATTCACATAGGTTCATGTGACATTTGAGTTCCTTTTGACCATGTGGCTTTACTCTGAGAAGTACAGCTGAAAGTGAATTAGGACTGTAAAGGGCAGTTTTACCCTCATGGCTTGCAAGGAAAACCAGATAAGCTTGTCTGAACACGTCCTTAATGATTTCCAAGCAGCCAAGTGGCAAACCCTGGAAACCTTTCTAAATCTAAAATTATGTATATATCCCAGTCATGGTCTTTTGCCCACTTTTATAATCCTTCCTCCAACCAGAGATGGATTCTAACTGTCATTGATTATGATCTACGGACGATTTGTCTGCAGACCAAAGAAATGAAAAACATGGCCGTTATTCAGCAGAGTACTTCCAGCCCCATACTGATGCTTTCTGCCATTCCAGAATACTATATCTTTTTGTCTTTGTCCTGTTATATGCTATTTAAAAAAAATACATTTAACACTCCTAACTTCTTTTGTAAGGCACAGGATATAGAAAAAAAGCATTACAGGAAAACTTATAAATCAAAACCCTCCTGAATCGAAACAGAAAAAACAAAAGTATATAACATTTTAGCAAATTAAATCCAACAGTATAGGAAAGAAGAGTATTATACTATGATCAACTGATTTTTGAATGTTAAATAGGTTGTGCATCCCTGAATTAATTTCACATAGTTGATTTAACATTAGAAAATTGATGAATGTTATTGATATTATTGTTAGTGTTAGTTGCTCATAGTGATTCCCATACACAGTGGAACAAACTGCTGCTGAGTTCTGTGTCATCCTCACAATTTAGATCAGACCATTGTGCTCCATAGTGCTTTCACTGAGCAATTTTCAGAAGTAGAGCGCCAGCTCTAGCCTCTTAGTCTATTTTAGTCTGAAAGCTCTGTTGAAATATGTTCAGTATCACAGCAACATATAAGTCTTCAGTAACATGGGTGATAGCTACTCATGCAGTCTCAAGGGTGAATTGGGGTTGCTGGAAGCTGGAATCTTAGAAGAAATGTGGTATCAGGATTAGGGGGAGACTCATCAATGAACTACGTTACGCAGATGGTACAAGATGCTTGCTGAAAGTGAGGAGGATTTGATGCACTTGTTGCAGAGGATTAAGAAATGCAGCCTTCACTATGGATTGCGTGTCAGTGCCAAGAAGACAAAGATTCTTATCACAGGATCGATAGGCAGCAGCAGCAGCATGATGGGTGGAGAGGAGATTGAAGCTGT